CCCCAAAACCCCAAAACCCCAAAACCCCAAAACCCCATAAGAAAATATTATAATTGAATAAAATTAGAAATGCTATCAAGTGATAGCGAACAAGAAGTCAATGACGAATTCATGTTCATGAACATTAGAGGAGGCGTAAAAGGTCTCAACAAACAACGACTTCGGTCGATAGTCACAAACAAGAAACCTCACGAGAGAACTTTACGAGATGTAATGTTAATTTTAGACCTTGTAAAGAATGTTAAATTTCTCAAATAACTTCGCAGGCTCTGATGAATTAACTGAATTATGCAAACATATGGAGTTAATCAAACTAGCTAAAGATTATACACTTTTTGAGCAAGGTGACCCAGGCGATAACTTTTATATAATTCTCAGTGGAAAAGTTGCAGTTTACTCCCGCAAAGCTAATGAAGTAGCAGACACTTTTGATTACGCATACATCTGAGATCTAAAAGAGGGTGATTCCTTTGGAGAGTTGTCATTAATTTATGGAGCTCCAAGAGCAGCCACTATCAAGACTACTGAGCCTACTGACCTAATAGTGATATCTAAAGAGGTATATCAGAGAGTTCTTAACAACCGTCAAGTAAATCAGATAGAATATATAATTGATTTCTTCCATTCTCTGCCACAACTAAGCTCATTTCAGAGCACAGCTGATGCTGAGATCTTAGGTCTGGCCACAAAGACCCAAGTAGTTAGGGTTAAAAGCAACGAGATCTTCGTTCGCCAAGGTGAGAGAGTAAATAGCGTCTGGATGATATATTTTGGAAAAGTTGATGTTGTGAGAAAAATCAAGATAGCTGGCAAAGAGAAAACCCTTAAAATAGACTCCCTTGGATCCTCTGACATCTTCGGCCATCATTCTATCGAGGGAGACTGAAAGTTTGAGTACACTATAATCACACAGCTGCCTTGTGAATTTTTCGGGATTGCTAAAGCAGACTACCTGAATCTTCCTAAGGAAATAAAAGAGAGCTTTATGGAATACTCAAAGCCATATCCTTCCGATGAAATTTTACGAGAAGATTATTATAACAATAAAAGATGGAACAAATTCAAGGTTCAGTGCCGCAAGAATATTAAAATCGAGAAGGATAATCTTAAAGAACTTGCTACACCTTTTAAGACTATGCGAGGAAATGTTCTTGGGTTTTCCAACCCATTCAGCTTTCTCTCATCAGAGAGAAGAATGAAAATCCCTCGTAAGATCTTGCCAGATAGCCAAAATCAGAGAGGGTCCTACATCCAAGAAAATATCCTTAAAATTGGGAAAATGAGCATCAAGGCTCAAAGCGAAGTCGTTGACTTGAGGCACCAAAGGAACAGAAGTATGGGAGAAATCGAAAGGCGAACTCAAGAATCCCAAAGGAGTGATAATGATAGCGAGGACCACCAGTTGAAGATCATCCTACGTCCGAAGGAGACTCCATTCTACCTTCAGAAGATCGAAAGTAACCCAGTGAATTTAAAGAGTCACGATTTGACACTTAAAGCAAGCAAATCATCCTGATATAAACCACCTAATTCTTCAAGAAAGATTCAAATCAATGAAAGGCTATCTCGAAATATTACCGATATAGATTCTAAAGGAAATATGAGTATTAAGGGAGCTATGCCTCCTCGAAGTACTCAGATGAATCGTGCTAAATCAGTAGCCAGATTTTCCCAAACCAAAGGAGGGTTAGAAGATGAAGCTGATAAGATCTCATCAAAGAGTAAATTCTTATCAAATAAATTCTCAACAACTTTGTTTGATGAAAAAGTAGAGAAGTCACCTCTATATCAATTAGATAAGATGAAATAAGCAAGCAAGTAATATGGATCTTGGCAGTGTAATGACCCCTGAAATTGATGACAGCAATTCTGATAAAAACTCTATAACTTCAGCTCACATATCCATCATAAAACCCCAATCTCCGGATCAAAAATCAATTCCAAAGTCTAAAAACAGGTCCAAAATGCCCAAAACCCTCTCTAAAATACCAAAAAACCTCTCTAAAGTCCCTAAAAATCTCTCTAAAACCTCAAAACCACAAAAATCCAAACCAATCCATAAACTCCCTCACACCGCTCGAAAACCCAGTCCACTCAAGACCCCTTCCAAACACCTTAAATCCTCTCTAAAGCCCAATCAGCCCATCCACAGTAAATCTCCCATTCCCAAACGTAAAAAGATACCCATGGGACCTCCCAAACTCATGAGCAGGAGGAACAGGTCTATCGAAAGCAATATTGCTGGTGGGTACCAGCCACCTCTGTACAACACTCCTGGCAATTATGTGGCCAAGCCCAAGACCATCTGGAACAAAGGCCTAAACCTACATTTAGGTAAAAGCCCTCCCGGTGGAATCTTGCCGAAACTTCATTAGAGAGAAATACCCAGAATATAGGAGTACTCGGCTTGTTAATAATACTAGAGATGAGATAAGAGTGAGAGTCAGAGATTTTAGAAATGGGACTTAGGACTACAAGATTACTGCAGTCCCATTCTTTAGTCTTCTAATCCTTTAATTTCCTTCCTCACTTCGTTTAATTTGCCTAAATTACTCGTTATGAAAATTCTTCATTAAATGTTGAAACGTTCAATTTACTCTTCTTTAAAAGGGGTTTTGGGGTTTTGGGGTTTTGGGGTTTTGGGG